TTGTCTGGTGTCTATCACATGGCTTGTCGCAAGGTGGGTTGAAAAAATATCTAGGACCCAGTCATAAAAATAATACTCGCGATTTGCCCCATTCCTTAACCCCCTAAAGCTCTGATAAGAACATGATACTACAAAACAAAGACATTTGACTGCATTCTTCCATAAAGGTATGGCTGCTTCCCAAGGCAGGGGCTCAAATTAAAACTGACAATCCGCTCTGCCCAACCTCTCACAAAAGAAAAAGTTGTTCGTTGCTAAAATCCCTGTACAATATTTCGTATAGAGATAAGAAAAACTTGAGGATTGTGATAATATCGAAGACTCGTAAAAAACCATTGAAAATAAATTGATGCCCCCCATTATAATAACGAGGAGGAGCGGCTATGAAATCTCCAACGCAAAAGTTTTGAGGACCCCGAGTTTTGTGATTTTAATAAGAAAGTTAGGAACTTCGTCAACTTTGCTTAGTTAAAATTGTGTCTATCTGCCATTGTGTAGATTGATGGATTTAATCTTAGGGCGACAGTTTGGGCCGGGGTTTTTTACAAATATTGAATTTCCATACTCGATGCTGATATGATTAAAAATTTCCTTGAAGCTAATACTGATCATATGTGGTCAACTTAACAAACTATAATGAAGTAATAAGAATCTTTAACCTCTAGAGACTGCATGTACTCAAGCAAGTACATAGACATAAAAAATATCTACAGACTTTATGTCTGTCAAATAATATTTTTGACGATAGCTTATTAGAGTGGAATATATCAATCAGTTTGCAAGTCAATTAGCGCGGTAGTCAAACAATCAGTGATCAGTGTACTGAAATATATGTGATCAATCAGGGTGCATCATGGCATATTATGCTAAAATTCGAAGAATAAAAAAAATGGAAGAATACTCTCAGGACTCTGGAGGTGAAAATATGACTTCTATCCTAATTTAAAAATGACTACCTTCTTCCATTTTATGAGGTACTGTAAATAGTGATCATAGTGAAGTGATAATATTATATTTTTTTATTTCTATTGAAACAGTTTATATTATATAGAAAACATTTCACACTCAGTACAATAATTCATTTTTTACAAATTCCGTCAAGAAATCAGATAGTTTTGCATTATATTTATTATTAAGATCAAGTTGTTTTACATATTTTTTGTATGTTTTTAATGTAAGCTGTTAATATTTAAGGTAAATTATAATTGATAAATAATAATAAAATTATCTTATAATTATCAGAATCCCAGTAAGTTCCGAAGTTTTGCCCGAGTATTTAGTGGAGCGAAAATATTACTTTTTATACAAAACTCCAAGCGAAAGTAGGCGCGATTTCTAAAATCTCTAGGCCTTGAATTTCACTCCATCTTACGAATTCCCAAAAACTCGCGTTCCTCTAGCTAATGGCGCAATTACAATTGGTCGTTAGCTTACATTCGGGTGCACGAAAGATATTACTCGAATTCGGGCACACGATGAAATATCTTCTTGCACTATCTTTTCCGCGAACATGGGCTGAAAGACGACGTTGTATAGGTAACCAAAAAGAAAACTGTCCGGTTACTCAGCCCCCACGCGCGGGCTTACCTGTGCACGTCTGCAGGGTCCCCGCGATACCTCGGGAGACCCCTGCCGTGGAGCCCCGGCTTGGCCGTGAAGCTGTTGGGTGCGGAGTCGCGGAAGAATCCCTTAATGGGGACCCCGCGGCTTCGCATAAAGCAGCATAGGTATTCGCAGAGTTTTTTAGCGGATATTATGCCGTAAAGCGCCCGTAAGAGTTGCGGGGTTCTCGGTGGACAGCCACTGGGGGGTTCGTAAGACTTGCGGGAACCAGGTGTGAGGTCCGTTCGGCGGTGTGCCTCTTAAAGGCGCCGTTGTCTATAAACAACATTTTTTGCCTGCGTAATAAAAAAACAAAAAAAGAGGGGCGTACTAAACTCCGTTCATTTACACTTATTTGTTTGTCCGAATTTAATAGGAAAGTATTCGGGTAAACGACCAAGTGTAATAACGCCATAATACTACGAAAAAACTTCTACTAACCAAGTTTTTGACTTTAAGATTTAAATCTATTAACGTGACATTTTGAACCAAAAAATATATAGATACTATCAAAGATTTTTTTTGTTTTTAAAGCACTCACACCAATTAGCCTAGCCTCAAAGTAACTGTGTTAAGGGATGCTAGGCGAACGGATAAATACATATACTGATACGTCTAATATATAAAATTCTCGTGTCGCGGTGTTTGTGGTTAAACTCCTCCGAAACGGCTCGACCGATTTTCGTGAAATTTTATATGCATATTCAGTAGGTCTGAGAATCGGATGTAATCTATTTTTCATCCCCCTAAATGTTAAGGGTAATCCACCCCAAATTTTTTTTTTCAATTTTAGATTTTTTTTTTTTAATTTTTTATGATACAGCATTAGTAAATACATATAACCCTGAATTTTCAACCCTTAACAATCAACCCCTATTTTACCATGGCGATATTTATTTTTAATATTTTTTTTTCTCAATTCAATTTGATCTTCCGCCTTCACCGGTCGATAGTCGATCAACGATCAATCGATCAGTTATCCCCGCTAGATGTCTACCTGGGTCACCTCTCATCCAGCAAAAATCACGGAGTAGGGATGAGAAGGAAGCCGTTCTCCTGTCTTCCTCAATATACGATACAGTTTTCGGCCATTTCTTTTGGTTTCATTTGTGTATCGATCGTAGCCGTGGCTTATACGTATTATTTTAATTTTTCTGTGCATCTATTACGTTAATTTTACTCTCATCGTGAATTTATTATTAATTTCCAGTGCAATAATTATTTTTTCACATTTTATTAATAATTGATAAAGACAGTTTTAACTATTAGGCGAAACGGCTCGACCGATTTTCGTGAAATTTTATATGCATATTCAGTAGGTCTGAGAATCGGACAACATCTATTTTTCATCCCCCTAAATGTTAATATCCTTAAACAATTTTTTTTGGAGCATCATCATACAAAAATACATACAACCCTAAATTTTCACCCTTCTACCACCAACCCCTATTTTTTATGGCGGTACGAAGTTCGCTGGGACAGCTATATAGTATGTATTTCTATAGATATTCAATATACGGATGGAGACATTGTAATGCTCCATACCTATATAAATAATAAATAATTATAAAAAAGTGGCTTCACACTTTCTCATTTCAGAACCAATACAATATTAAAAAAAAAAACAAGCGCAAGACACAATAGAACGTGACGTAAGAAGTATTCGAAAATTTTAAAAAATCGAAAATTGAATGCCGTAGAATGAAAACCGAGGTTCCCTAAGCGATGCGTGTGGAACTGAATTTTCTTTCATTGAATTAACGTCCTTCAAATTTGTTTGTGTAGCTTTTGTAAAATTGTTTTTTCGTTATATAGTGAAAAGCTCTTCCACTTTTTCCTTTTGTTTATTTGTTGTTAATTTTTCTTTGTATAAATGCTGATTCATTATATTTACATAGTATTTAATACACCCGTGTGAAACCGGGAAGGCCGCTAGTATACGTATATTTTTTTAGAATAACATATTAAATACCAATGACTGGATGCTCGTATTTATCACACAAACATCCTCCCCCCACCAGGAATCGAACCCGGGACCTCTCGAGTAGGCGTACCCGACGTACAAACCACCAGGCCGCGGAAGTCGTCATAATAATTTTAGATTTATACTTAGTCTTGCCATAAATACTGTTACAACTAAAAAAACAGCAAAATATTACATTTACATTTGGAATCAGCCAATCTTATATAGCCAGAATATTTTAGTCGATAAACATTCTTTAACAAAGTCTTCAATTGTAACAATAAAAATGGAACTAAGAACTCCAATCATCATCATCAGCCTATTAATGACCCCACTGCTGGAGCATAGGCCTTTGCTATGGATGAAATAGGGAGATTGGGCCATGACCTACCACGCGGGCCCAGGCCGGATTGGTGACTTTACAAGAAGTCCAATTCATTCCCACCTCCTCACTGTCACTGCGTCGTCAGCTTAAAATTAATTTAAGCCCATCGAGCCGTATTTAATCCGTTCGTGTAACTAATCCATTCTTTGTTCCCTGTCTCACTTTGAAAAGGAAAGATTTTCGTTTAGCAAATTACAATTTGTTCCTGTTCTCTGTACTGTAGGTATAAATCACTTAGAACAAGTCGAATACCGTAATTTTGGCAGAACTTAGTGTTTTTGGATGTTGCGTCGTCGGATTGTTGGGAACTCTTCGAACTTTTGTATTTAATTAAATCAACCGTTGCTTTCTTTGAAGCTTGATACATAATGCTGAGAAAATTCTGGGAACTGACATTTAACTCTAGAATAGGTACTTGGATTTTTTTAATAAATTAAACCTTACTTGTAGTGGTTACTCTTATTTAGTTTTCATAGAATTTGTGGTACTTTAAGACGCCATTTGTTTCATTTTTGTTAAATTATGTGATCGTATTGTTATTAAAGATATAATTTAACCTTTCACGCTTCAAGTACTTGGGAAGAGTTTACGACAAACGTAAGTTTTAGTTTAAATAGAGCATGTTATGCATTAATTTTTAGTGGCCTTATGGGGGAAACAAAATTTTGATCTTATTATGACTACGGATTAAAATAAGCTTATGTATCTTATAGCTAATAATATCCTACATGATCTATAAAACATAGATTATTATAAATATAGACATAAAATAAAATCAAAGAAGTGATGAAGAACTATAAAGTTGGAAGAAGTTAATCGTTTAAAAGGAATTACAAAAATATTTTTTGTAAATTTGGGAATCTGATATGGCTTATAATTAGTAATAGAGAGCTAATTTTGTATAAATATACTTTTATACAAAATGTATTTTTCCTTTTTTTTCTATGAATGATTTTTGTTTTATTCTCATTAAAAAGTTTCATATTTTTTTGTAAAAATTTACCCTTTATTAGTCACGTTTGCCGAGTTGATGTTTTGGAATATCGCCAGGTTGCAGAGCGCGCGAGCAGAAAACGCGAGGGTGGTCCGGCGCTCGCCGGGTGCCCACCAAAGCTCGTGGCAGCGCATCACCAATACGCCTCCCACGCACAATAGGTAACAAGAATCTGCATCCAAAAAAAATCTACCACATTACATGCCCAAGCCTAGCTTTTGAAAAGGTCATACCTCTCTCTGATTAAGGAGACAGAAGTACATCGAAGAAGTAATAGTACTTATCAAAAAAGTTTGTCACCAAAACGAAGAAAGAAAAAATATTTATTAACTGTTGATAAACAATAATATAGATATGTTAAAAAATCTACACACTGATGAGCATACAAAGAAACATACCCCTCTAATTGATTAACAATAATTCATATCTTCCAGACTGAGTTCAGACTAAGCCTAACTTTTGAGAACGTCATACTTTAATTTGATTCACGAATAAAGAGACAAAAGTACATGATAAAACCACAGTATTAATTATTTTATACAAAAAATACATAAATCCCTTACATCAAACCCCAAAGATCAAAGAAGGTCTAAAATATAAAAAAATGTTACTGGTTCTTCTTCTATATCGATGTCATACTCTTGGCATAGTGGTCGTGCTTATCACATTAGGCTTCCTTCCGTACTGTGGCTCTTCCTACACATTCATGGAGTCTAGAGACTAATTTACAGATTTCGATAAAGTCATTTTGTATAATTCCTGTAAAAACACTCATACATAGAAAATATCTTCATGGGGAATATAAATAATATTTCTCTTTTAGGATTGTCGATTACCTGGCGCCACAGTCACCCATGAATGCCGACGAAGACTTGCTTCTTGAGCTACTATTCAAAATGTGAGGGACATACTACCAAATTATTGTCATCATCAGAATAATAACATCGTCGTATAAAAAATAATACAGTTTAATTCAGTGTCCTAATCGTATTATGTTTCTAGAATATTATTTCTGGTGGAGCATTTATTTCAGGTTTGGTGTTCAAGAGTGTAACTATTTCGAGACATGTTTATAATGTTGACCTTTTCATTTCACTCCACGTTATCACTAAGAAATATAGGTTGTATAAGAAACTGAAAGAACTTATTATGTACATATAATATTATTGTTTTAAGGACACATTTATTATTTACTATTCTGTTTGCGAATGTCTTCAATTCGCAATGTAACATTGTATTGTTTCTTTCACAACCTATATGTTCATCATTAATTTCTATTTTATTATCATATACAGGTGTTTTCTTGGAGTTGTGAGATAACACAGGCCTTGTCTACTTAAATTTTAACCTGTCGTTTTGTAAAAGGTTTACTGAGAAGGTATGCAATAGTTTTGACCTTCACAATTTCAGAATAATTCATTCAAGACTTTGATTCTTTAGTTCATTATATATCTGTTTCAAAGAAAATGACTTGTTTAGAGTTTTGAATATTGATTTTTCTTACTTTTAAACTCTTCAGGTCATAGACAGGGTTATATTTAGTATAAATTTTATCATATTTGTATTATATTTTTCATAACGTATTTTTGAGACATTTGTTTAGAACATTTATTGGAATCATATTTTCGAAAACTCTAAATTGGACGTAAAGTAAATTTATCTAGATGAACATCGTATTGGCTGATTTCGATTGATTCTAATGAAATAAAAAATACAATTTCATGTAATGTTTACAAATGGTCAGCATAGAGAGTTGGCTAAAGCATTATATTTGTTACTTTAAATTATATAGTTTTGTATTCAAATGTGTAATCACTTTCTTTGTTAATTTGCTTGCAAAGTTATAAAATTCAAGTCGAAACTGAAGTCTTAGGATCTGTTGTAGATATCCCCCGACGGAGTCTTAAATTATGTAGGTTAAGTACAAATTCAAATTATTAAAATGCCACTGTTCTTATAAAGTAGTTGCACCTAGCGTAAAATACAATAAAACCCGATGAGCTGTGAGTATTTTGAGATTTTATCGTATTTAAGGAAATTAAAAAAATAATAATGCAGTTATTATAGTTTGACTATTGGTAAAAAAAAATGGTATAGGTTTCGTTCCAGCCTAAATAGATTAATTCTTTTTTATTGGTCTCTGTGGAGACGTCTTAAAAAATTCATCGAACTTAACCTATCTAAAATTTCCTGTAGATTTATGATCTAAATCTTATGAAACTCATCATTGGCAGTTCATTTATGGTTAAACTGTTATAATGAAATTCCTTTTTAAGTTTCATAGAACATATATATATATATGATTGACTTAGTTCAATAGTAAAATTTTGTTTAGTCCATCCGTAGTTCCTACATTATAACTATTAAAATGGTTAATGAATTCTCTTGTACCTACAATTAGTTACTTAGATACTAATTTTGTTTTAGATCCTCGATAAAGCTATATGCCATACTTACCTAGCGTTCATGAAAAAAAAGGTTGTGCACCATTTAATATAGAAATAAACTAACTTAACTACCTAATATTCCCTTTTTCTGGATTCTCTGATATTTTAACGTAGTATAGTTTATAGTTTAAGGTATTAGAATAAAAATAGCTTAACCATAAGACGACTTATATGGCCGTCGAGATATTTTCGATTCGTATTTTTATAAAGCAAAAGTTACGAATGACTAAGATTGCTTTGCTTGTGCAGGGCCAATGATCAAGTAAATTCAGGATTAGTTTAATACAATTTTAGTTTAATTACTTATTAATTAGTCTTTTCTCTTGGTCTAATTTTTTAACTTCGTGTTAGTTTAGTTTTAATATTTTTTTCTTCTTGAAACTTACTAAAATTTACTAAAATTAATTTTGACTTCAATAGTTTTGAGAGGCCCGGTGTGGAAATCTCAAGATGTTGAGTTCGCTCTCAGTAAGTTAAAGGTTGCATCTCCTAAGAATTTTTGAGCGAGATGTTGGATTTATACAATTAATACTAAAACATGCTGAGAGTCAATTCAACTACATCAAGTAGATAATGAAATGACACGCGACGTAGATGAGAAAACCGTCCAGTTGTGGCGGCTTTTGCACCCTCTGGTTGCGAAATGGCAAAAGTCGCGGTAAGTAAAGAGGAAATGGTATGGCATACATTTTGGTATCGATGAAGTGGTAAGATATGCTTGAATGATCAATGGGCACCCGAGGGCGCGAATACAACATGTATATTTCATATTTTTGGAGCGCTAATTTTAAGATGTTATATTTATATATGTATATGTAGTGATGGCGGATACAAAACAGTATTTCGAGAATGTATTGCGCCAAAAGTTTTGATGTATTAATTTTCCATAAAAGTTTTTCTCTCATTGTTTTATTTCGAACGGATAAATAGTTCGTTTAGCCAGTGGTCATGCGTATATTTTTGGATAGCGTGCACGATTGCTTAAAGGCGCTGCGAGAGGCGGTGAATTTGATTAAAAAAGTATGAAAATAAAAGTATTTTTACTGAAACACGGAACCTCTGAAAGCAATAATATTTTTGTGGTGATGAGAGTATTTTATTATCCGTGCGATCGTCACAGACAGATAGACCGCTTTTTAGTGCATCCGTCGTCGTCGTTTGCTCCTTTAAATGTTCAACATAATTCTGCTTTACATAGTCTGACCTCGTAGCATACGAACTTAATATGAGTCAATACTACATTTCGTAAAGAAAAATTCAATAAACTTGGATGTGTATCTTAAGAGCATATCTATTTACTGTTGGTCCTGACGCGGTTAGAATTTGAAAAGTAAGTCAAGAAAATCTTTGTCTTCGTTTTTCCAATACATGAACATTGCCTAGTATAATTTTGTCTGTGACACTACGTTGCTGTACTAAAAGTTTCTACAAGCAATAAAAACGTTTCGAACCTCTCTCTTAACGAAAGGTTTTAGGGAAAAAGGCTCTGCCTACAATATTGAGGTGTAAGTACACGATTATTTGGAACAGAATTCGCGTCTGCGTTTCTCGAATTGCGCAAAGCTATTAGGAATTTCGGAACGCGAATCCCAATAATAAAAGGAGCAATCGAAGGGCGAGCGTTAGTTATTGACCACTGCTAAAAAAGTGCACTAGGAGTAGATAATAGTTAGATAAATTACTACTTATATATAATATATATTATAAAATAATAAAAAAAAGTCTTGAAATCTATAAATAGAATTTAAAATTAAAAGTTTAACTAATACTTTTTATTATATTATAAGAAGCTTGTTCACACATTTTAACTTCATATTTAGTAAGTAATCTTTAAGACTAAAATGATTGTAATGTTACTAATGGTACTGGAGTGGGTTTAGTGAGACTAAGGGTTTTTTTCGGGTGGGCCGTATAGTAAGGGTTGGAAATATACTGTCGACTTTGTATAAGCCGAATTGAAATATGTACAAGTATGGCTGTATGACGAAGGTCAAGCGATTAATTCTTTCAGTACAGTTTATGTCGCTCGTATATTTGGAACCCCGTGCTAATCAAATAATTTATGCCAAAGGCAAGTTTTTTATATAATGTGATAAGCATGTTATAGACATTCATTTGGAGCATCCATAAATTATTTTTAGTATACTTAAAGTATAGTTGAGTTGTTATGCATTTTGTTGTTGAATTTATTTGAGATGTATGTTCACTTTAGTGGTATCAGTATTTTTATCTTGTCCATTGTATATGATTTAAGCTACCTATTTAGGTAACTTACATTCCTTAAATTAAAGATGTAATTTTAAAATGACTTATTAATTTTATTTAGTTTTAAGTTTGTTATTTTATTTTAGTTAATTAATTCGCTAAGTTTGAGTGAACACACATCTCATTTTGCTATAGCTTGCTATTATGATACTTTACAGCAGATTAAATTGTTTTGATTAAATGGAGCCTGCCTAAAGTATATTGCATATCACTTAGGAAGTTATATGACTAATTGAAAATTTTCGAAGTTTTTTTTTATCATAATACGCTAGTATAATAGTGATTTGTTCTAACTTTTAGATGAATATAAATGTATTGGTTAGCTTGTGATCAAATTTACGAAGACACGGTGATAATTCGATGAGTGCGTACTTGTAATATTGTTATGTTTTTTGTATTTTCTGCTAATCTTCTTACCGGTAATAAAAATTAATAAAATCTAATATAACCTATTCAAATAAAAACAGATATATTTGCAATGTCAATTTTTTGGTTGTTTGGTATATTTTTAGGCATTTACACGTTAGGTTTATTAATGTAAAGAAAAAAATTACAAGAATTTTTTTCACAGGGTCCTGGTTTTAAACGAGATTTGAACCCGCACCTTCTGCAATCCGGGCGGACGCACTAACTAATTATGCTACTGATGCCTTAATGGCCGTGTCGAATTTCTCCTAGTATTTCTTAGGCTGCAAGGCAGCGCCATCTCTTAGCATTGTAGGTGGTATAATGATGGAAACGAAGTGTAATAAAATTGTGTTGGAACCGAAAATTATGAAAACATCACCTAAATACCGTTCATTTAATTAGCACTGTGTCTATAGGTACAATTATTATTCCAAATGCGAACTTTTTTGCTATTTAAAACTTAAATATGTATAAATAGGTAGATCTATTATTTATTATACTTAATAATTGTTTTATTTGTGATATTATAGTAAGTATGAATACGCAATAATGCAATTGCCATTGTTAAGTTCTTTTTTTAATTATTATTGTTTAATTCAGTAATCGCGATGTCATTGAAAAAAAATGGTTTATTTTATTTAAAAGATTTTTCGAAGTTGTTAAACTTTTATTGTAGCTTATTTCATTTGTTCCTAGAATAAATCATAGCAAATCTTATGAAATTGTTTTAGTCCTACCGTAAAAACATTTTTGTTTGTTACAAAAATGGTGTAGGTAGTTTGTATTTTTTTAAGGCTATCGTAATTGTTAACTGCCAGCTTAATGGTTTCTAAAACACCAAATATGGAAGATTGATTGTGAAGGTTTGTAAAATGTCCAATTTATTATTTTTTACAATATTATTTTATATTTGTATAGAACTGTACGACGAAAGCGGATGGAATGAGTTATTCATGTTTATATACACCGTCAGAAAGCGTCATAAAATTTATTTATAAAAGCTCAAAATGTCCGTTTCTTCCATAATCAATAACTTATAAGATTCGGTACCTACAGGCATGTCAATTGTATCAACAGTAACTTGGCAGAAAACAAAATTGTGTCTGTAACTTGCAGTTTTCCGTCTGTATTCACCATTACAGTTTTATCTGACCATTTGAGTTTTTGACTCGATCGAGTTTCCCTCAGCCACAGATCTATTCACCACACAATATAAAATGGTGATTTCACCATGATGAAGATCAAAATCAGTTGAAAAGCCAGTTTCAGGTAACTCGATCTGTGGCGGGTTGTACCTAAGTTGAACCTGGCGTTCCTCAATTAACTTGTCTAGTGTGAAAAGTGAAGTACCTAAGTACAACTATAAACTTCAGTATGAAAACTTGAAAGCGAGTATTAAAACTCAAACTCTGCTTTGCACACTATTCAAGTACCTAGTCAATAACTCAGATAGATAAAACCGCTGATGATAATTGTTGTTTGAGTTAATTCTAAATTTAAAGAAAATTTTGGTAGAAAAAACTCCACTCGGTTAAATTTTTAGACGGTATTCGAACCCGCGTCTTTCACTATTTCAGGCAGGATTCGAATTTGTATTTTCAGCCAGGTTAGTGGAAGATGAGGGTTTGATTCCCATCAAAGGGGATTTAAGTGGATTTTTTTCTAGTAAAAAATTCTTTAGATTTCATTATCTAGCAGTTAAATGCTGAAAATAAAAATATGATAATGACTTTATTTTATTTGTGATTGTATCCATCTTGTACTGTTTTTTACATGCACTCGCATTTGAAATTGTTTTATGAGACTATTTATTTGAATTATAATAGCTAAATAGAAAAAAGATAATTTATGTATTGTGGTATATTTATAATGAAAAAAAGTATTAACAGTACCTACTATTAATTGTATACTTTCATTACGTCATAAAAGCTTATAAAAGTTATCAGCGGTTTTAGATCGGAATTTCGTAAATAAAATTGTTCCTGTGGTTTTCTTTTAAAGTAAGATGTCGTCATATAAGGTATTTATCTTTTGGTCAAGACGAAAATTGATAAATTAAAATGTAGTAACATAATTTTCTTGCAAATGTTTACGTTTGCATTCCTCATATTCTCTAGAGTAATTCAATTCAGGAAAATTACAGATACTTAAACCAACTTGATTATTACCACCAATTATGGTTCATATTATACTACTTCATACTTTAGACGAGTACGTATAATATACTTTTATATAGATATACATTTATACATACTCGACTAAAATAATATTCCGTCTAACATAATCCGCTGCATATTGGACTAGTTATATCTTCAATTTTAGTTGTAATTTTCTCAGCAATAACGTTACATAAAGTCAATGTTTGGTGTATATAATTTATATACCTATTATTACTGTAAAATATCATAAAATCGATAACACTTACTTTATCAATCTTTCGTCTTAAACAAAATAATACTTTTAGAAATCACACATAGTAAAAAATATTATCTTTAGTTTATACAGCATCTAGGTACTTAATTATTTGTGACGTAAATAAAAAGAAGTTGGACATAATGTGTTAAGTGAGTCAATGAGTCTATTCGAAATAAGTGTACTTTGAACAAAAAAAAATCTTCCTTTGTAATTATATTCTATAAACACTACAAAATTGTGATTGAAAGCAATTTAAATATTACTGCTGATTATAAATTATGTATGTTTTATTTTATCCCACCTTTTTCTGCCTACTCCGTTCCGGAATATGGTGTGAAGATTTCTTTTGTCATTATCATCATCAGCCTATTAATGTCCCCACTGCTGGGACAAAAGGCGTACTCTGTGGATGTAATAAAGTCTGGGCCGTGAAGCACCACGCGGGCCCAGTGCGGATTGGTGGGTGCTAACGACTGCAGATGCAGCCGAGACCAACGGCTTAACGTGCCTTCCGAATCACGGAGGAGTTGGAGATAATAAGGTTTCGGTCATCTATCTAATTTGCGAAGTTACCTAAGCACCTGCACCAATGAGCTCCAAGAAGATTTATTTAATGATTTCTATTTAAGATAAAATGGGGGAAACAGGCCTGAGAACCCTTCATGCCGGATCACATGCGGATATGCGGATCGGTGGGTGCTGACGATTATTCAGATAGGTACATAAAATTGAGCCCAACTAACACACGGGCACGTAAGAACTGATTTCAATATAAGTAAACTGTGAACGCGGTTGTCAATCATCCAGGGATCCACTCGAATTGACATATACAATTTTATTAAAATTGGCCCAAAATTTGTTTGCCCATTTGCCCATTAATGAAAATAACTGACGTCAATGAGGGGTTTCTGGAATGACGGGCGCTAGCTTGGTGGCATTATTGAGTCAAAAGGTTAATTTCTTCAGAACAAGGTCCAATGAGTTATTTGTAAAAAGGCGTATCTCGTGTGATTGATTTATGAATCATTTTTAACAGACGAAAAAACAGAGCAGGTTCTCAAGGCGAAGTCGAAGATAAAGCGCGCCAAAGTTTGGGAGTGAGGGGCTCGTGACGTCAATTCTAAGTAAAAATTGTACAAAAGCGTAACGTCATGCGAAGTATCAATTCATTGCATCTCTATAATATTCTGATTATGTGAATAAAGAAAACAATATGTGTACTTTTTGTTAATCTAGGTAGATACAAGAAAAAATGTCAATCATTGCTATTTTCGCAAAATTGTAAGGAATGTATCCCTTGAGATCATGTTATTTCCTAAGTGGATTTTCCACTCATGCATACGTCTACCTACCTATAACGGTACGACTAGTTGGAACTTAATAAATTGTGAATATAAAATAAAAATAAAACTAAGAAAAGACAGAAAGAACGTTTAGATAAAACATTATTAGAATTTAAGTAACATTTTCTAAAGCAAAATATCAAATCGAAATCCTCTTAAAAATCGGTATCGGATTCACACGAAACGATTAAGGCCGATTAAAGGCAATGCGAACGATAACTGATTGGCAATTCACATCGTAGGCACGTAAAATTTTAATGGCCCTATATTTTATTAGGACGACAGAACAGGCTTTGATTAAAAACCCTCTTGGAATCACCAATTTTCAACATAATTATTGTTCTCTGGTATTTCGAACGCGATCATTTTCAGCATTTGAATAGATACCTACTAACTTAACCACAAACAAATTAAAATAAATACCCCCATCGACTTAAAATTGGTCATCGTTCCATTTATTATTTACCAATAAAATAGCATTTTATGCCAGGTGCCAACGGCCATATTCCTTCACCAAGCAACACGTCGCAGAGAGAAGTTTCACCACCACAATCTGTGTCATCACCATCAGCATTATCAGCCTATTGATATCCCCACTGCTGGGGCAGAGGCCTTCTCTATGGATGGCATAGGGAGATTGTGCCATGACCCACAACGCGAGCCCAGTGTGGATTGGCGGATGCTAACGACTGCAGATGCAGCCGGGACCAACGGCTTAACGTGGCTTCCGAAGCACGGAGGAACTCGAGATAGAAGAGTTTTGGTCACCCATCCAATGACCAACCACTGCGAAAGATGCTTAACTTCAACGATCTCAGCCGAACGCGCTAACCACCTGGGCCATCGAGTTCCTCAATCTGTGTGCTTGGTGTTCTACTACCATACGTTACGCGCACTACCATTTTCTTATGTATCTGCAAGATCTGGCACGTACGTCCCTCAGTGGCTTTCCATCTTAGCTATGATTGGCCAGTCTTCAAAAGGCGGGTCAAACTTTTCCTTGCAACGTACTGCAAGTGTCCATGGGCGCAGTGATCACTTACAATCAGATCGACTGCTAGTTCGTTTGTCTACATATATAATCTGAAAACCATACAAATATTAACTACTCTAATAGTAACTCATACAGCTCCATAAGAGTGCAATACAATGATGCATTTCGTACTCTTATGAGACTACCGAGATATTGCAGCGCGTCGGGCATGTTTTTCGATGCTCGTATATCGGACTTTTATGCTGTTATGAGAAAGCGTATAGCCTCTTTTTGGTCAAGAATATGTCTTTCTGATAACAGTATAATTAAAACCATATGCAAAGGACTAAATAATCCTATATTTAAATACTGGATATCAGAGCACCAGAGCGAAAACCACAAATGACGTAGGTAATCTTTAACTACCTGTTTTAATTGTTTTATTTTTCTTTTATGATCTTATTTATTTTTACTCTGTTTACACTTTATATATATATATATATATATATATATATATATATATATATATATATATATTACTATTGTAATTTGAATATGACATTTTTATTGGGTTTTATATGCCTTTAATAAACAATTATTATTATTAAAGTGTGAATACGTGTCTGTCTGCTACCTCTTCGCGCTTAAACTTCAGAACCAATTAAGATGAAATTTTATATAGACATAGTTTTAGTCTCGGGAAAGGACATAGTCTAGTTTTTATATAAATGTAAGGGTGAAGAGATAACCATTTTTCCATGCAGACGAATTAGCGGGTACCCACTAGTGGTTTTTTATTGTGGTTTCTTAAATATTTATTTTTAGTCATTCATATAACTTTGTTTATTGGTAGTTGCTAAAAAGAGACGAGTTTCTTACGTAAGAGTACTTTTACCTTTAAAACATTGTAACTGCATTTATCAAAATAATGTTTTGTTTATTATTGCTGAAAGAGGAAGGTTCCACCGGTATAAAATGGGTCCTATATTTTTAAACAAATGCAGCAAATTACCCAAATCCAGCTAATGTTTAATGTACCTAGTTGTGTAGATATGTAGATGGTGCAGAAAAAGCCATCCTCATTTACTGACGTGCAACCAATCATCTGCCTCGCTGAGCCCTTAAACCTTAATAAATCACCGACAGAAAACATTTGAAAATAGACATTTTATTTTCAATTGTTTACATTAATACAATCTGTAGTTATAATAAGTTACAACATAAAAATTGTTCACTGAATGCTTGTTTCATTCTACCCCCAGGTAAAAAGAAAATAGTTGATATCCATAACCACAGTGTTACAAAAGATTTTTGTGGATATGCCGCTCTTCAAATATTTTATAATAAATTTTAGATCATATAATATTTAAAACTAGTTTTAACGGATTAATGCACGAACTTTATTTATTTATTGATGTTTCGCAGGCTTTTCAGGTCTGCATCGTCAGAATAATGAAAAGGCTGTGAAACGACAATAAATAAATAAAGTTCGTGCATTAATCCGTTAAAACTAGTTTTATTTAATGAGTGATGTGCGTGAAAACCTAAGAAACAAATATAATAGTATCATATTTTTATTTATTACTTATTAGCTGACCCGGCAACTTCGTGCCACCTAATAGTCGATCGAATATGGTTATTATCGAGTGGATCCGAGTATACCGTACTGAAGGGACGGACGTTTGACGTCCGTCCCTTCAGTTTGACAGGAAAGTAAGTAGAACAGTTTATATGGGAAATGAACTTGTTGTTTTCCTCAAATTGTTCATTTTTTCTCATCGTTTAAGCCTTACCTGGACTATGACAAAGATTTCAAAACCAAAATCAGCTCAATTGGCTTATCCATTCTTAAGTTTTATTTTATTCTCGTCGCATGTGATTTTTGATAAAATAAGAGTGCAACTTAAGAAAAATTGTACTGCTGCCTGATCCGCATGGATTTTTTGTAGTACAGTAAATGCTTAAAATTCTTATTGAATATAATGAAAGTTTATTTATTTCTGGCAATAATAAATAAGTATTGAATACGAAACATAAAGAAAATAAAATTACCGGCGAAACGTGTAAGGAAAAATATATATTTTTTTCATTTTATACTAGCGGCCGCCCGCGACTTCGTACGCGTGGAGTTAGTTATTTGCACATACTTTTGGACCCTAAAAGGGGATTTATTTCCAAAGATACATTATTAGTACATCTCTACACCATCTAAAGAGCATACATTACACCAATAAATACCTAACACTTTTTTTTTAAATTGTCGTGCTCATCTCTGAAACGAATTAACGATACAATTTTAAGAAGAAAAGCACAATTCCATCTATGTCTTTTAAAAACTACTATTGACCTCGCCCACATGTTTAAGTTAAAATTATTTATATCCAAAAAGTGCTTGCACATGTAATTCGACTTGAGTTTTTTTAATCTCATAGATGGCGCTGCTTCAAAAATGTCTATTATGTTTATCGGCATTAGTTACTTATAGTGTGAAGCTAGATTATAGCATGGATAACATAACAATAACATTCAAATATGTGTCGTTAGATTACACGTTGTTACAGAATGCGTTGAAGAAATAAAGGTTCACTGCTCGTTCCTTGTAGGTGATAGCGTGATAACATGGAGTTTATATTTACTCGACTTCTAAATAATATTCGTGCCAAATTTGAAGTAAATCCATGCAGAACGTTTTGAGTTTATCCCGGACATACATACAGACAAACGGACAAAAATTCTCATCTCTCTTACATTGATTTTTCATACAAACTTTACTCTTTGTTGTTTTTTTAATAATGGTTACCAATTCATTAGGTTACTTACTAGCTTTATATTTTTTCCCCTATTTTGTATAGATTAAATCTTTTAAAGGCACGTCCATATTTATCATACCTTTAACGAATCGAATTTAACCTACCTTCATAAAAGTTTGATCTTATCTTTTTTCTAGTTCATTCTGCTGC